AAGAGGGAAGGGGTGGCCCTTCTCTGGGGACCAGGAATCTTCCGGTCAGACCAAAGGAGAGCTGGCCAGGCCTGCCCAGGAAGGAAGTGCGGTCTCTCAGGAGGCAAGAGATCCTTGGAAGGGAACAGCCCAGAGGGCGCCGTTAGGGTGCCGTAGGGCGCTGTGTGTGTGAGAGGCCAAGACTTTGCAGCGACACACACGTGATAGACCGAAGGCTGTGGGTTGTGTGTGCTCTCCTGGCGTGTACGTGTGCGGTGCGGAGAGGGTGACAAGAAGCCGTGGAACGTGGGTGCAGACCGTGTGTACCCCCTACAGAAGTGTGCGTCTGCATCCCAGGAGGAGGAGGCAGTGTGTTCATGCACGCGCGCCCACGCATGCCCACATGTTTTCAGGCCAGTGCACACCAACCCCAACTCCGAGCAGCCCGCGCATCACAGACCCCCTTACTGGAACACGCCTCCAGTCACTCGTGTCCCTCTGAGCTCCCTCCAAGGCACAGCCTTCACACAGATACACAGTGACACACACTTCTCCGACAGCGAGCGAGCTCCTCGGTCCCCAACGCCAGCTGCTTCTCTGAGCTTGTGTTCATGTTGGAAAAAATAAACAAAAAACAAAAAACAAAAAACAAAAAAAACCGGCACGGGGTGGGGCAGGATTCGAACCATTGAGCCAATGAACCGGTTCCCCGCCACCCTCCTCGACCCCTCCTCCCGGCGCCGTCTTGCCCCTCCCCCTCCAAGTCACCGGCGTCCAGTTCCCCGCCCTCCACTTGCCCCCACCCCGCAAGCTGTCGGTCAGTGCCCCGGCAGGCCGTCCTGGGAGAGCGGGACCTGGACAGCCGAGAGGGGCAGAGACGGAGCGAGCGGCGGGCTGAGCCCGAGAGGCCGGGACTAAGCGGGAGGAGGGAGGCCCGGAGGGAGGGAGGAGGGAGGAGGAGGGCGGGGCCGGGCGCAGCCGGAGGTAAGACGACCCCTGCCCTGTCCAGCCTCGCCCCCCTTCTCCCCGCAGCTGCCTCCTCTCCCCTCCGGCTGGCCGGCCCCTCCTCCCCAGCCACCTGCTGTTCTGCCCTGGAGAGGAACTGGGTGGGTGACGCGAGGGAGGAGCCGCCTGACCTTACCCCTTCACCCCCGAAGGGCGAGGGACCCCTGGCGGCCATAGAGCCCCCCAGGCCCCTTCCCTCCTCCTCTGTTCTCTCCCCGTCCTTCACCCCCTGCTCTGCCCTTCACATCCTTCCTGCCTCCCTCCCTCTCTCTGACTCCCCAGCCCTTTCTTCCTGAGCCCCCCAGCTGGACTTAGGCGGAGGTGGGTGGGAAGGGGTCCAGGCTCCAGGGGAGGGTAGTGGGGGGCTCTTGACCAGTCCCTCCACCTCCCTCTGGCTGGCCATTGCCATGGCAACTAGGGCATCCTGGGCTCCGGAGGGAAGACAAAGGTGGGGGGTGGACTAGGACCTCTCTGGGAGCGCAGGGTCCTCGGTTCTCGGCAGGAGGTAAAGCTGCTGTCTGCGTGCCCCACTTCTACCCCATGGACCCCAAGGCCAGTACGCCCCTCCCTGCAGCCTCCACCCTGCTCTGGGTTTCTCCCATTCCCTCTCCGCCCCTTCCCCAGGGCTCCCGAAGCTCAGCGTCACTAAAACCAGGACTGCCCTCCCTCCTGTCAGAGGGAAACTGAGGCTCTGGGCCAGGGAAGGAAGAGTGGGGCTACCAGCGGGAGCCAGCCCCTCAGGAAGCGCTCGGCTGTTCTTCCCAGCCCCCCTCCTCGCTCCCTCCCTCATCCAACCCCTCCTCCTGCGGAGCCTCCCGCCAGGGGTTTGGGAGCTTTGCTGTCTATTTTCAGATCCGATACTACCACTTTGCCCCCTCGTTCTCTCTGCTCAAACTCTCCTCCTTCGCCCTGGTTCCCCCTCTTTCCATTTCTGGATGCTTCTGATGTCAGCGGTTCCCCGCCTTCGGGTTCCCTAGCCCCCCCTGCGGTCCAGCCTTCTCTCTCCCATTTTCCCAGATCCCTGGGGAGCTGCAGAGTGATCATCGGGCGGGGAGATGGGGCTGAGCACCGCAAAGACCGAGACCCGAAGGCAGGGGAGGGGCCGCCATACCGGAGCCCTCAGGAAGAAAGCAGTCCTGTCTCCCATCAGTGGCTCAGAGAGCTTTAGGGACACGATGACAGGGTGGAGTAGCACTGAGTTGGGGACATCAGAAGGAAGCTAGGGGTTCCACAGAGGAGAAAGGCTGAAAAAGGGTGGGAGACAGGGAGGCGCCTCCCTTCCTGGAGGGCCAAAGTGGGGTGGGGGAGGCTCTGATCCGTGGGGAGTGTTTGCGTGGCCTTCTGATTTAAGGCAGAGGAATGTTCTGAATGACCCCATGACCCCCAGTAATCAGTCATCCCTTTAGTTATAAGAGAGGGGGGTACAGAAGCCAGATGGAGGCAAGCGAGGCCCTCCCCTCTTTTCTTTGCCCATCCCGTCTTTTCTCTGCAGCTTGTCCAGGAGGCTGAGTCCCACCCCCCTGGCCCCTTGGAGCATCAGGAGACCCCTCACTGGTCAAGAACCAGAGGAAAGAGACCTGGAAGGCCCAGCATGGGGACCAGAGCCCCCCAGCCAGTTTCGTAGTTGGGAAAGCAGCCAGCTTGCCTCCCCCATCAGTCCCAGGGGTACTTAGTGAAGGCTCACCCAGTATGGAGGCTGAGGACCGCCTCTGCTGACCCTCAGTCTCCTCCCCTGCCCTCCACCCTGACCTCAGCTGGTCAGCCATGCAACGCTGAGCAGTGCAGCGGGCCTGGGGGCAGCCGGCCTCACTCCAGGGCCAGGATCTGGGCACCATGGGGATGTGTGTGAGTGGAGCTCCTGGGTGAGACCTAGCCCCCGCCCCCAGGGCCTCCACGGGGGTGGGGGGCTGAGGATAGGATGGCTCGGGGCGGGGCGGGGGCAGAAGAGGCCACCCTGCGCTCTAACGCATTGTCCTGGCTGGCCTGTGGGCTCCTGGCACTGCTGGCCAATGCCTGGATCATCCTCAGCATCTCGGCCAAGCAGCAGAAGCACAAGCCGTTGGAGCTGCTGCTCTGCTTCCTGGCGGGCACGCACATCCTCATGGCCGCGGTGCCCCTCACCACCTTCGCTGTGGTGCAGCTCCGGCGTCAGGCTTCCTCCGACTATGACTGGAACGAGAGCATCTGCAAGGTCTTTGTGTCCACCTACTACACGCTGGCCCTGGCCACCTGCTTCACGGTCGCCTCCCTCTCCTATCATCGCATGTGGATGGTGCGCTGGCCCGTCAACTACCGCCTCAGCAATGCCAAGAAACAGGCGCTGCACGCGGTCATGGGCATCTGGATGGTCAGCTTCATCCTGTCCACACTGCCCTCCATTGGCTGGCACAACAACGGCGAGCGCTACTACGCCCGCGGCTGTCAGTTCATAGTCTCCAAGATCGGCCTCGGCTTTGGCGTCTGCTTCAGCCTCTTACTACTCGGGGGCATCGTCATGGGGCTGGTCTGTGTGGCCATCACTTTCTACCAGACGCTGTGGGCCCGGCCCAGGAGGGCTCGGCAGGCCCGGAGAGCGGGGGGCGGCCCAGCCATTGTGGTGGAGGATGCCCGAGGAAAGCGGCGGTCCTCGCTGGATGGCTCTGAGTCTGCCAAGACATCCCTGCAAGTCACCAACTTGGTCAGCGCCATCGTCTTTCTCTACGACTCGCTCACGGGGGTGCCTATCTTGGTGAGACTGGAGGAGTCCCCCCTACCTGCTCTCCTCTGTCCAGGTCCCAGCATCTTCACCCCGCCTCACCATCACCTCTCCTCCAGCTGCATCGCTGTCCTCCTCTCCCCTGCCCGCCCGCCTCCATCCCCATCACAGCTCTGGAGCCCCATCACCTCTCTGTCGGTTCCCCCTGCTTGACTCAGCTGCCCTGTCCCCACACCCACATCCCACCGTGAGCTCCAGTCTCCACTCCAACCCCTCTGGATACCGCAAGGCCTCTCTGAGCACTTCTGATGGGAACCCTGGAGGACTCACCACACCTCCCTGGAGTCTCTCCCCTGGGATGTCTGTCTTCAGTTTCCTGCACCACCACTGTTCTCTCCCGCCTGCCCTAAAGCTTTGTCTCCTTGCTCTGCGTCAATCCCCTACCTCCTTTTCATTCCATCCCCACCCCAACTCTCCCCCGCCCTGATCACAGGGTCAGACACCCTCCCTGCCCATCACTAAGGCTCTCCCCGGCTTTGAGCCCTAACCCGGCGCCATTCCCCATCCTCCCGCCAGGTGGTGAGCTTCTTCTCCCTCAAGTCGGACTCGGCGCCCCCGTGGATGGTGCTGGCTGTGCTGTGGTGCTCCATGGCCCAGACGCTGCTGCTGCCCTCCTTCATCTGGTCCTGCGAGCGCTACCGCGCCGACGTGCGCACAGTGTGGGAGCAGTGCGTGGCTATCATGTCCGAGGAGGACGGCGATGACGGTCAGAGGGACCGGGCTCTGCCTTCCCGGACTTCTTACCTACTCCCGGTTCTTACCGCCCCTGCTCTGTGAGAAGCCCTGGCGCGCCCCCTGCTGCACAGAGCCTGCACCAGGCGGGCGGCCCTTTCCCTAATCATGCGCCCTGCTCCCCCACCAGTGTTTCCTTCTGCGCCAGGCCCCGCTCCCCTCTGGATGTCCACACCGCCCAGCTCTGGCGTCGCCAGCCAGAGCCACGGTGCTCACAGAACCATGAAGGCAGGCAGTGGCAGGAAGGGCAAGCTAAGCTTCCGGAGAGAGTCCCCCCAGCTGTAGGGACAGTTCTTGGGGGAGGTCAGGTGGTCGTTTCCACAAACACGCTTACATGTATAAAGCACTAGGGACCCTGCACTGGACCTCACACAGGCGAGCCGCTCTCGCCGCCCCTTGGAGCCCACAGGCTAATGGGAGCTGAGGGCTCTCTGGGAGCTAATAAAGGGAGTGGGGTGCGCCCCTGCCTGTAACCTCCGCTCCTTTTATCTCCTAGATGGGGGCTGTGATGACTATGCAGAGGGCCGAGTGTGCAAAGTTCGGTTTGATGCCAATGGAGCCACGGGGTCCGCGGGCCGGGACCCCACCCAGGTCAAGCTGTTGCCTGGAAGGCACATGCTCTTTCCCCCTCTTGAGAGAGTCCACTACTTACAGGTATGAGACTGGGGGGCCACACCGCCTACCCGGGTCCTACACGCCGCTTCCCTCCAGGCCTTCTCACCCACCCCAACCCCCCATTCCCAAGGCCGGCCTGCAGGGCATTGCGAGGGGTAATGGGTATGTGAGGAAAGGCATGGGAAGAGAGGCTCCCCTGTGGCCCTCTCACAGCCAGACCCGCTCTTGGAGTGAATGCTCTGAAGAGGTTTGAAAGGGTGGTGCCCTCTTGCAGCGTCCCCACTTTGTCCCTGCAGCACCTTCAGGTCTCACCTGCTCCTCTTCCCAGGTCCCTCTGTCCCGCCGCCTGTCCCACGATGAGACCAACATCTTCTCTACCCCTCGGACACCAGGCTCCTTCCTGCACAAATGGTCATCCTCTGATGACATCCGGGTCCTGCCAGCCCAGAGCCGGGCCCTCGGGGGCCCTCCTGAGTACCTGGGACAGAGACACAGGCTGGAAGATGAGGAGGAGCAGGAAGAGGCTGAAGGCGGAGGGCTGGCCAGCCTTCGCCAGTTCCTAGAGAGTGGGGTTTTGGGGTCTGGTGGGGGACCCCCACGGGGTCCTGGCTTCTTCCGGGAGGAGATCACCACCTTCATCGACGAGACACCTCTGCCTTCTCCAGCTGCCTCTCCAGCGCCTTCTCCTCGCCGGCCCAGGCCACTGGGCCTCTCTCCCCGCCGACTCTCCTTGGGGTCCCCCGATAGCAGAGTCATAGGACTTCCTTTGGGGCTGAGTGCAGGGAGACGCTGCTCCTTGACAGGGGGGGAGGGGAGTGCAAGATCTTGGGGAGGCTCCTGGGGGCCAGGCAACCCCATCTTCCCACAGCTGACCCTTTGAGCCCAGGTGGGCCTGCTGGACTCAGAAGAGGGGGGCTGGGTACACCTCCTTCTGGCCTGGACCCTAGGGCAGCTGCCTCCAGACTCTGGGGAGATGGGCACTAGACCTGGGGCTCTGGAGCTCCCGCTCGTTCCATCCAAGTGACTAGACGACCTGCTCACCTCCCATCATCCCTAGCAAAATGTATTAAAAGCTGAAGTGTTGCCATGGAAACCTCAGTGTCCAGCGTACTGCCCTGGCAAAGGGTATGGCGGGAGGATGGGGGTGTGTGTGTGGCTTGCAGTAACAGCAGAGGCACACTCCAGCTTGCAGACCACACAGAGACTGATAGGCCCGAAGGGCGCTTTGCGGGTTCCGGGTGTGAGGAGCATTGCTCAGATTTGTGGGGGCAGTTTAGGAGCCTCAAATCAGTCGCTTTCCCCAAATGCATCTAGGGGGTGACTTTCTGGACAGCAGAAGGTGTGGGCTGAGTGGGTGCCCCAGACCTGGAGCTGGCCTCTTCCGTTATAAAGCTCTCTCTCCAAAGGTGTGGGTGAATGGATGAGTGCGAGAGGCGTCCACGCTCTTCTTCCCGGGCCCGAGTGGAAGGACACAGTGGCAGCAGTTATAGCCACACGATAGCCTCAGGGCTGAAGTCCCAGGTCCCCAGCAGGTCCCTCCGCAGACGCGCCAGCCTAGTCTAGTCTCCTGCCTTCTGCTCTCCCCTCTCCACTTCCCCTTCTCACACTCCATGCTAGGCCACTGGGCTCTGAGACGAGTCCCCAGTCCGCACGTGGGCTCCCTCTGATTTCTCTCTCTATCTCTCCCCCGCCTCCCCCGCGGGGTCTCACCCCATCAGTCCCAGGGCCTCCCTCATGCTTCTCTCTCTTCCTCTCCCCCCTCTTCTCCATCTCTCCTTCCTTCCCCTCCCTCCCTCTTCCCCCCTTTCCTCTCCTCCTCTCGCGGGGCTCGAGACGAGTCCCCAGTCCGCACGTGGGCTCCCTCTGATTTCTCTCTCTATCTCTCCCCCGCCTCCCCCGCGGGGTCTCACCCCATCAGTCCCAGGGCCTCCCTCATGCTTCTCTCTCTTCCTCTCCCCCCTCTTCTCCATCTCTCCTTCCTTCCCCTCCCTCCCTCTTCCCCCCTTTCCTCTCCTCCTCTCGCGGGGCTCCCGCATTTCCCTTCCGCAGCTGGCCGCGGCTCCGACATCATGCTTCGGCTCCTCCGGCTGCTGCTGCTCCTGCTGCTGCTGCCTCCTCCGGGGTCCCCTGAGCCCCCCCGCCTGGCCCCGCCGTCTCCCGGGGCGCCCCTCCCGCCCC